CTCGATGGTACGGCGGGAGCGGGCCGTGCCTCGTCTCGATGGTACGGCGGGAGCGGGCCGTGCCTCGTCTCGATGGTACGGCGGGGGCGGGCGGTGCCTCGTCTCGGTGGTACGGCGGGAGCGGGCCGTGCCTCGTCTCGATGGTACGGCGGGGGCGGGCCGTGCCTCGTCTCGATGGTACGGCGGGAGCGGGCCGTGCCGCTCCCCCACCTCGTCTCGCTGGCGCGAGCTCCCCCGCGCCGCCGCGGCCCGGCCCGCCCCCGCGCACGCGCAGCCTGGCTCTGTCCGCACAACTTTATTGTCACCGTTCGCGGCGGGGGGGAGGGGGGAGCGCGGCCGGCGCCGCCGCTCCGGTTAGTGTCTCGGTGCGCGGGCGGGGGGGACCGCGGCCGCCGGGGCCCCCCGGCCCCCTCGTGGTCCCGGGGCGGGCGGCGCCTCAGTCGAAGGAGATGAGCTGGGCCTCGCCGGCCGGGGGGGCGGGCGCGGGCGGCGCGGGGGGGGGCGCGCCCCCCGCCACCTGCAACGGGAGGTTCGGGGCAGCGGGGCCGCCCGGTGCCCCCCCCGCCGCCCCACTCACCGGCTGGTAGAGGGGCTGCTGGCCCGGCCCGTAGGGCGGCTGCTGCGGCGGCGGCAGCGCGCCCAGCGCCTCCTGCCCGGGCAGCGACGAGAGGAGGCCCTGCGGCGGAGCGGAGCGGGGCCTCAGCGCCGCGCGGGCACCGGGCACCGCGCCCGGCCCCGGCCGCGCCGCGCTCACCTGCATGGTGTAGGGCTGGTAGCCCATGGACACGGAGGCGCTGCCCATGTAGCCCATGCTGCCCGCCTGGGCGCTCTGCGGCAGCGGGGCGATGCTCTGCGCCTGCGACGCCACGCTCTGCCGGGAGACACGGCTCAGGGCACCTGCTCTGCCGGGCACCAGGGGCTCCCCGGCCCCCCAAACCGGGACGTATCAGCCCCGTGCCCCGCGGGGACCCAGGGCCTGGCCTGTCTGCCCCCCCTGGGACAGCAGCAGCGGATCCTGTCACCCAGGACCAACCATCATCTCTCCTGCGGTGCCCAGAGAACCCACAAACTCAAGTCACTGAGACAGGATCCCCTGGGCCTGCAGGCCTTCCTCCCCACGCCGTCTGCCTCGGCTGCTCCGCGGAGCGTGGCGCAGGGAGGCCGCCGTCACTTGCCTGGTAGCCCTGCGTTGGGGTGGGCTGGTAGGACGAGTAGGCCGGGGTGGTGGTGGGCACGGCCTGGCCCTGCTGGGCCACCTGCCCGCTGCCCGCGCCCGGCGGGTACATGTAGGCGTTCACCATGCTGGGATCTGCAGCAGGACGGCACGCGCTGATGCCACCGCGGCGTGTGCGGCCTCCAGCGCCCCAGAGCCGCTCGTGCCCTTACCTGTCCCGGAGACGGGCATTGCCGAGTAGGGCGCCGTGCCCCCCTGCGCCGCCTGGTTCATGTAGACGCTGTGCATGGGCGAGCCCTCCACGGAGCCGGCGGGGCTGAAGGTGCCGGGGAAGCTGGTGGGCCCCGAGGGCTGGTAGATGACGCCGCCGGCTGCCGGCATCGCCTGCAGCTGCGAGGGAAGCAGGCTTGAGGCCGCGCTCCCGGGCACTGCGGAGCGCCCCGGCCCGTGGCCCGCAGCCGTACTTGGGCGTAGGGCAGCGAGAAGGCCGGCATCTGGGCGCGCATCTGGATGGTCTGCTTCTGCTGCTCCAGCCGCAGCTGCCTCTCCTTCTCCTGCTCCTGCAGCCGCTGGATGGCCAACTGACGCTGCATCTCCAGGTACTCCTGCGGGAAGAGTGGAATGAGCGCTCGGGCATGATCCTGCCGGCGCAGCCCGTCCTCGCCAGCACTGAGGGGCAGGGCCTGCTGCCCAGCGCGGCCCTGGGTCGCCAGAAACGCTTCCCGGCCTCACCTGCTTCTTCTGGCGCATGATCTCCAGCTTCTGGGCCAGCTGGATCTGGCGCTGGCGCTCTGCCTCCTCCGCGGCGCGGCGCAGCTTCTCCCGGTGCTCCTCCCGCAGCGCGTTCAGAGCCCCCCGCGCATCCCGGATTTGGGCCAGCTTGTCCTGCAGGCCTTCGTAGTACACTGGGGAGGAAAGCAGAGTGTCAAGGACTCTCCTCAGGGTACCCAGGGGCTGGGTACTGACCATCCCCACACACCGCAGCGGCTCCCACCCAGACAGGCTGTCCCGGGAATGCCGAACACCGGCTCTGGGGGAGCCCCAGCACCAACTGCTCCCCCAGACGTTGTTCTCAAGCCACGTACGCCTGCGCTCATCCAGCTGGTTGAGCAGCTCCAGCAGCTGGGGGTGCATGTTGTTAATGGACTGGAAGAGGGAGAGTACTGCAGAGTCGTTGGTGATGCTGCGACCACGCATGTGGTTGCTCTTCATGCGGTTGACAAAGGTGGTGACCGCGTTCTGCAGGGCCTTCAGGAACTGCTCGTGGTTCTCCTCAGACTCACCGTTCTGGTACTGCTGCTGGAGCGACAGGGCAGCCAGCGGGGCCCGGTCCTCCTGTGCCAGCGGCGGGGCTGACCAGAGGAGACGGCCCGGGCTCCCTCTTACCTCAACCACGCTGAGTGGGGCAGGGTGGGCTTCCCCGGGCTGAGCCGTGGGCTCCGTAAGGGACAGCGGGGCCGACGGCGTGGGGCTCTTGCGAACCTCCTCCTGTTTCTTCTCCCAGTAGTTGCGGTTCAGGTACCGAGCCAGCTGCCACAAAAGGAACCGCAGCTGATTAGTCCAAGAGCTGAGCTGGGTGCAGGTGGGTGCCACGGACTAGCAGCAGCCGGATCCTCACCTCAGGGTCAATGTCCTCAGCCAGTGGCGCAGATGAATTCTGGAAAGAGAGAAACGTGGGGAAGAGATCAAGTCCAAGCAAACCAGAGACTCAGAACTGCTACTCAATCTGTTCAGAGCCGGGCACTCGGTCACAAGGGCTGGGCAGAAGGGAAGGGGATGGCAGTGCCTGCAGTCAGACACACGCTGTGGCTACAAGAGGCAGCAACTGAGCCAGCTGAATGCAGAGCTTCTTGCTGAGAGCACTGTAGTGCTGAGGAAAAGCAATGGATTGAAGGGGACACAACTTTTCTCTCAGAGCAGGGATTAAACGTGACCCAAACAGGGCTAACTTGGGCTCAGGAACTGGCCTGCTGAGTGTCCGGCCAGGCCACGCTCGGGGGCTGCTGTGTACGCACCACGGGCGGGGAGTAGAGCGTGCTGACCGGCGGCGCTGACGAGGTCACCGGGGGCGGCTCAGCCTTTGGGTACATGGAGTAGGTGGTTTTCTGCCTCTGCAGAAGAGGAGAACACACAAAGTCTCCCAAACAGCTCCAGAACTGGTCAAACTGCTCCCACTCAACCCACGCACAACAAGGACACGCTGAGACTGTTACTGCACAGCTAGCGGCACCCAGTACACATGGGCTCTAGAGCAACACCCATCGCCAGCTGCCAAGCAGGACACGAACCATCCTCTCCTTCTCCTCGGCCTCTGACTGCGACAAGGCAATAGCCAGCTGCAGCTCCTCCTCCTCCTGCAGGGCCGTCTCGTCACGCTTCGGAGGCAGCTGCAAGCGGAAAGAGAAGAAGGGGTCACTTAAAGGGATCAATATATGCAGGACAGAACCAAGTCACCTACAGGGCAGGTGCTCACCTGGGACTGCTGAGAAAGAGGGCTGGTCAGGTACTCAGGGGGCAGTTCAGAGGTGGCAGCAGCTTTGCCCTCGGCTTTCCTGTAGGCAGAAACAGGCAACGGTTCAGAATGAGGCCTGGAGGAGCCTCGTGGGATCCACCCATGACCCTGCAGCCTTGTTCCCAAGGAGGAAAGGGACCACTCTGCAGAGCCTGGGAAACCCTTGCCCTGTTCTTCAGAAAGGGAGCCCTGCACAAGTTTCCCCCTTACAGTCCCAGTCAGTGCAGGTAAAGTGATGGTCGCAATGGATACTGACTTGTTGAGGTGCTCGTAACAGGGTTCACAGACTCTCACTTCCTTCTCAATCCCAAACTTAGGAATAGTGGAATACTTGGAGGAGCACTTGCCACAGAAGATCTGCCCACAGGCCCGGCAATGATGCTGCAAAGGATGGGAGACATCAGTGTGTCTGCAAGACACTCACTCATTCACCACGAGGCGAGACCACTCGGTCCCTCCTGGCAGCTCCTGGCAGCGAGCAGGGGCCCAACCCGGACACGCAGGCTCCGGAATGCTGCAGGGAGCTGGCCTGGAGCAGGGAACGCAGGGGCAGGAGCGGCACCCACCTTCCGCGTCATGACGCCAAACTGCACTCGGCATCTGTGACACTCCTCCGCATCCACCCAGTCCGGAGCCTGCGGAGGAGACGAGTGAGGAGGGATGCAAGGCCTTGGGGACGGGGCCTCCCGAGAGCCCTGTGGGAGCTGCTGCAGCCGAGCAGGCTCCTCCGTGAACGGGGACGTTCAGGAAGCATTTGCAGCTCAACAGGAAATGCTCTTGTGGACTGCCACCTTTCAAGTTACTAAAGACTGTGGTGCTTTTCCAGGCAGCAAGAGGTTTTGCAGGAACATGCAGGAACATGCCTGTACAGCAACCAGTTCAGCAACACCCTTATATCAAGCTGTAACTGCTGTGTTGCTGGAAAGCCACCAAGCAGGCCCCTTGTCATCCTGTTCCTGATGGAATTTCGCTCAGGAAAATGGCTCCATTCCCATTAGTTCTCCCGGCTGGCACTTTTAGGCAGGAAGGAGGATCCTTCCCAGGCTGCTGTTCACCACCTCTCAGTGACCGCACGCTGGCACGTGCCCAGCGAGACCCCCAAGCGCGGTGCACGGGGGTGCAAGTTTAGCAGCCAGAGGGCCGCGAGAGCAGGGCGTGTGGCGCAGCGCCAGCAGCGGCCCCGGCAGCAGAGCTCACCCTCTCGGCAGCAAACATGGCATCGCTCTCCTTGAACTCCGGGAACACGTGACCTGCGGGAGAAGCGACTTGTCTCGCTGCGCTGACAAGGCTTGACGCAGGTCCCACCCTGCCCACCAAGCCCAGCTCAGTGTTTCTGCCACGTCCATAGCCTCGTCCTGATACCAGGGGACAGCAGCTTTCCTCACGCAGGAGGCCTGGGTCTTGAGCACACACTGCAAACCTCGGGATTTCCCTCACCTGCCTACAGAGCCGTCAGGCTCTGAATACAAGGCGCCTCGCTCCACACTCGGAGCTCGTCACGGGGAAGGGCACAGGGGCTGCAGGGATGACAAGCCGAGTGGCCACGCGGCTCTTGCTGCCCACCCTCTACCCCAGCTGGGCTGGGGGCCCAGAGCAAGGGAGCCCCCAATCCTGGGGCAGACAAGAGAGTCTTCCTCTCAGCAGCGAGGTTCAGTCACCCCAAGAGGTTCCCTATGTATGAGGCACTAGGGAAAATCCCAGTGTTACGTGCTCAGATTCCACTGACAGCTCCCACTGCCCACTGCTCCTCCCGTAAAGCAGCTCCCGGCCAAGGCCCACACGTCCTTACCTTCCACCTTCATGATCTGGTAGGTGTCCTGCACCACCTTGTACTTGGGCTCGTTGCGGAAGGCGTGAGCCCAGGCCTGGATAAGGTACAGGATTTTACTGCGGACACTTGACTCCACTTGCCTCTGCATGGAAAAAAAAAGGCAGAAAAAATCTGAAAAAGAGGTTGCTGAAACTCAAAGGGTGAAGCAAGTCACCTAGAAGACAAGCCAGAAACAGTGCTCATGGAAGGAGACTTCAGAGTCCTGGAAGGAAGCACAGGTAAAGCTTTGGAAAAGCTGCAAACACATCAGGCTGTGCAGTGCTTCAGCTTCTCCACTGTCCCCTCTGAACAGGGACAAGAGAACACCCTTCTGAGCAGCACAGTCGGACGGGACCAGAGGTGCTGTTCGGTGCCTTGGGGACAGCTCCCTCGAGACTCTAAGAGCAGCTGCCCCAGCGGGCATGAGTTCTGTCCTGCCCAGCGTCCTGCCTTCCTTCCTCCTCACCAGAGGAAACCTGGGCTGCCTGAGAAGCACAACCGGCCTCACGGGCCTAACGAGGCACCTCACACTCACGAGGAGACGGTGCTGGGGCCAAGGAGCCAGCACCTCCAGCTCACACACTCCCCTCCAGGAACGTGCAGAGCTACTGCAGGACACGGCACACTAAAGACAGCTGGGAAGCCTGCTCTTTGGAAGCAGAGAAACGGGGTTCTAGGGATACAGTCCAGGAAGCAGGAGCAAACTTGGCAAGCCGGTTCCTGCCCTCGGCAGCCTGCTGGGGCAGCCCTGTCATCGGCTGACCTCTTCACCACACACCCACGTGTCTGGCTGCTCCCAAAGCCCTGGGGGCGGAGGAGCAGCGTCCTGCTCCCTCTGTGGCCCAGGGCTCGGCCCACGCAAGGGCTACCACACAGTGACAATTCCCAGCAAGATTTGGCAATATTCTGTTTTCCATGAGCGTCACAGACCCGAATGTCATCAGACTGAAGTCATCTACCCAACAGCTAGAGGTTTAAAGTTCCAAGCTCAGGAGCAGAGGGGTCGGGGACAGTTAGGAGACCAGTGGGGCGGGCAGGTCCTTGGGCCTGTTCCCACCTCGTCCCGCTCTGCTACGGAGCCTCCCTCCTCAGTGCAGCGTCATCAGGAGCGACCCGTGAGAGCTGAGACCGTGACGGGGGCGGCCGAGAGACCCCCTGCCCAGGACGGGGACCCCGCTACTGCTGCCAGCTCCACAGAGAGCAGGGTCACCACCCTCCCGTCCCGAGCGGAGCCGGAGCGCGGGAAGGGGCCGGCGCGGCCGCACCGGGCTCCGGGGCGACAGAATCCCTTGAAGCCTCCGCTTCCCTGGCGCGAGCCTCTGCGGGCGTCCCGAGCGGCACTGCACGGAGTCACCTCCCGCTGCCCACATCCAGCCCGCTCCTGTCTGGCCCTGCTGCGTGTGGCCAGAAAACACCACAGCCAAGCGTCTCCGGCTGCTGCTGCTCTGCACCAGGGGCGTTCGCCACCAGACAGCCTAGCCCCCTCCCGCACATCCCTGCTGGACACGCTCCCTACGAACGGGAGCTTGTGCTGTAGCTGAACGATATCTTCCTTCCGTGATAACCTCCCTGCGGTGCGTTCTCCTCAGCTTCCCGCGTTTATCATTTATCCTTTCCCTTTATAGACTGCTCTTTTCTGAGGAATGTTACCGCACACGTTCCTTCCGCCGCAGCATGTGAGATACAGGACAAACAACCTCAGTGCTCTCGGTGCTTCTCTTGCGGCCTAACTCAAAAGCCAAGAAAAAAACGACACTTTTACCTTGAGTATTTCTTTCAGTTCTTCCATGGTCTGTTTATTGGCTACCTCATCGTGGACGGTTTGGCCACAGTTTTTCACGACGGACTCCATGACCTGCGAGGCAGAGAGCGGGATTACGGGGGCCGTCCCGTTCCCGCGGCCGCCTCGGCAGGAGCAGCAGCCCCGTCCCAGCTCCAGCTCAGCACAGTGGGAGCCCGAGGGCTTCGGGAGGCGCCGGGGGCACCCGCCCCCCGGAGCAGCCCCCGCTCCCGGTGCCCAAGGGGACAAGCGCCCGGAGGGGGCAGGGGCCGCTACCTCCAGCGCGTAGAGAGCCACGTGCGGGTTCTTGTCGCTGACCTTCTTCTTGATGGCGCTGACCGCGTACTTGGCCCTGCGGGGACCGAGGGAGGGCGAGCGCTCAGGCGGGGCGGGAGCGGGGCGGGGAGGGCGGCTCCCAGCGCGCCCCGTGCCGAGGGAGCCGCTTCCCTCTCCCGCGAGGGGGACACGGCCGCGGGGGCGCCGGGAGCACCGGGAGCACCGGGAGCACCGGGAGCACCGGGGCCCGGGCGGGGCGCGGCCCGCGCCGCACTCACTGCGTGTCGCCCTGGCGGATCATGTCGCAGATCTGCAGGATGGACTCCCAGTCGGTCTCCAGCAGCAGCTGGCTCGTGGCCTTGTCTGCGGGAACGGGCCCGTGAGGCCGCGCGCGCCGCCGCGGCCCGGGACCGCCGCCGCCCGC